GGACATTTTCACAAAACCTTTGTTTTAATTTAAAACCTGTTCATTCTTGGACCAGGGTGATAAACACGCAGTTGCCTCTTCAGGGACAATTTCATATCTATATTCACTTTCGAGTTCAAACAACATAACTTGTTTCAACACATAAAGTAGCTTCATATTATACCTCTGGATGGCTGTAATGCTGCCTCTTCTCAACCTAAATCCATTTGGGATTAACAGAGTTAACGAAGGCGGCGTTGTGAACAATACAGCGACCGTGCAGCCACTAATTAGAACCGCTTCTAATGAGGGCTCGTTGATTGACACAGCAGGGTTGGCCTCTCCCCTCGCCTGCATCAACTATGACAGCCACATGATGAGGCTGATGACAGGCTCCCATGCAGGCAGATGACAGGACGTCACTGCCAGACCACCAACGCTCCTCGCCTCTGAACAATGCCGCGCTCGTGTCTCACCTCCAGATTCATGGAGCCTCGCTCTCTCATGGTGTGGAGGTTAACACAAAGAGAAATCACTACATATTGAATTCTAGGTGTTTTCACTCTTCTTGTCACTGTGTATTGTGTTTAAAGAAAATACACAACAACCAAGAAATACCCAATTACGATTAAAAGTCTTCCATTTGAAAGTTAAGTATATTTATATTTGTAGGTATGAAAATATAAACTATTTGACAGCTGTGGTTGCTTAAGTCTCATGTGTCGCTCTATTGCATTGTTACAATTAACGCATCAGTGCATTGTATTTTACTGCCCCAGGTGCAGCTAGTTGTACCTGCTTTATCTACTGTTTGGTATTTAGGTCCAGTGGTTGCCAGAGTAACAAGGTAACTGGATAATTTGACCTCTTTGGCCCTTGAACAGTTACTAATTGATCATTTAAATCATCTGAGAAGTTTAAAAGGGATTTAGGTTTAACGGCTTACAATTCATACAAAAACCTAGGGACTTTTCTTTTTTGCTTTTTGTGGGTTTGTTTCATAATTTATAAGCCAATCATTTATATATATTTAGTAGAAATGCTTTGTGAAAAAAGAACCAGTTATACAAGAGATATAATGGGATATGAAGTACACAAGTAGTATTTTCCATTTTCACTGGTGTTGGTTAATTGAATTAGAAATGCTGAGAAAAAAGTGAATTGAATATGTATTTAGTGCAACATCTCGATGTCTGAATAAAACGTAAACTTCGCAAGGAATTGCCTCAGACTGTGTCCATCTACCAGCTCTTTACAATGGGCTTATTTCACTGTATATATTACCAAGCAGTGACAGACATGAATCATGGCAAAAGAGGCCTAGCTGTAGGGCATCACCAAGCCAAGTTGACAATGAGGGTGAAGTGTTTGAGTAAATCTTGCGCGAGGCCCATTGGCCCCCGTGGCAGGGCCTCTCTGAGTGGGGTTTGAGAAGCCCCGAGGATGACAGGTGCTTCTCGTAATGCCTAACTGATGAGAGCCAATCAGTGCGCCCCATTCTGCTGGTGTGTGTCTCCTCTCCTGTTGTTGTCATCTGGCCCGCTAAAGTAAAGATGAGCTTGACTGACAGATGCATCCGGGTTCACAGTTTATTGGTTTCAACAAGAGAGCCAGATATGCCAATTTAGACAGGGTTGTGACAAAAAAGTTCCCATCTAAATGGAATAATTTTACCACTGGGAATTCTCAGCTGGGAGAGGAGAGAGTCTAAGTGTGTATGTGTGTGTGTATGTGTGTGTGTGTGTTTTATCTTTTAACAAGGCCTGAATGACAAACACATAGGACAGTTAGGGGGCTGACAGAAACACTAGCTTTTGATGCTTCACAGGGGATCCATGAAATAAACAATAGGCAGAGGAAGCAGTGAAATTGAATTATAACAATTGTGTGTTCCAGAGTAGAGAGTTTAGAGAGGAGAAGGGGTAGCAGCAGTGTGGTATGGCAGGATGAAACCAATGCATCATTAAATATACTTGAGTCTAAAGCCGGGGCAACGCTCTCCTGCCTCTCCAACTGTCCCGCTTCTTTGTTTCCCCCTCTACTCTCTCCTTTTATTTTTTTCAACATTTTCTCTTTTGTCTTCTGTCTTGCACACAAACACAGATGTGTTAACATAATGCAATTGTTCCTTTTTACTGTATAGGCGACTTTGAACAGGAATCATAATCTATATCAATTCTACAGATAGACACTCAAGCAACGTGCTCTGCATTTGTTTCTGTATTTCATATTTGAGAGCTGTAACCCGTATGAGTGCCTTCTAGTCCTCATAAAACCAAACATCAATACACCAGCAGCAGGAAACCTTGAACTCTGAATCATTTTCTTATGGGGTTAATAATGAGGGGACACCGAGTCAACGACTGACATATAAAAGAATTTATTTCTCATGTGCACAAAAAGAATTGGAACAGAACTGAAACAGAACAATGATTGAGGCCACAAGGCTTTCTGTATAGATTTTCATCAGAAATCCTTTTTATGTCCATGACACTTCTCCTGTATCATCTTTACAACAGCAGAAGACCCTTTCCTTTAGAGGTGCTCCGCTTCCTAAAGCAAAGACTCCGCCTGAATGACGGTGGCTTGCACTCTGCGCCAGTGTTTCATTTTCAGATATGTCGAGCTACATGTACACAGAAATAGGCAAATCCCAAGTGCAATTTGTAGAGGATAGCTTCTCCTGAAGAGCAGGGCCGCTGTTTCTCTGTTATCTGGTGCCCTCTGCAACGACAGTTAACGCTGGTGCCAGATGATGTATTTGCTTGTGTGGAGTTAAAGTAAACTTCATGTTGGATGCCTTTTGCTAAAGCGTTGTATTGGCGGAGGGAGTGATGGGAGCAAGGAGAGATGGGTGACAGGTAATAAGTGTGGATGTGTTTCTACACATGGAGCCACAGATGACTGTAATTTGGATTAACATAATGATCACAACATCTACTAACAGCAAACAGGACAATATCTTTGATTGTTGCCAAGGACTTCAGTTTGATCGCATCCTCATTTAAGGGAATTTGTGAAATGAGAGAGAAACCATTTCACACTGGAGGTCTTTTGTTCTTGTTCATTTATATGCTGTTCTCCATGGGGATTACTTATTCTGAGCCCAACAACAACAGATGATACAGAAAGCCATTAAACTCATTGCATAGTGACATAAAACATTATCATGACATTATCATGAAAACAAAATCAAATGACAAAGACAACCTATGTGATGTTAGCATCTGGAACCCGCTGCTACAGTATGTGTAGCCACAGGTCATACAGTAGTTGTGCCTTTCCTCAGAGCACAACATTACATTAAGACACAAATGTAATGTATTTTTTCAGTTTGAATATCTACAAAGGGAGCCAGTACATTAGTATGATATGCTGCGTGTGTGTGTGATATTATTTACAGAGAAGAATTGTCTTCACATTATTCACAAATCATTCTACAAAGCAGCATTTTGTTGCAACTGACAGAGTATTGAGTAACTGAATTTCACCTTTTTCATTACAGTCATATGCATCATGTTGTTCGACCGTTAAAAAGTCACGGCATACATGTTCAGTGTTGACTACTCATTTAAAAGATAATACTGCTTTATTTATGCATACATATACTGTAAATAAAATATTAAATATCAAACTAAGTCTTTGGCAAATGTAGTTAATAGTACATTCACAAAATATTTCCCAAAAAGCAAACTGAATCAGTTTTTCCTTTCAGTCCCTATGGAGAGTAGAACGTAAATCAAGGAGGGTTGTGAATATGTGTTTGTAAAGGCAATTAATTTAGTTGAACAGGCATGAATTTGCGTTGAAAGAACAGGCTTGTAAGGCAATTGTTGAAGCTAATTTACAGTTAGTTTGCTCAACTGCAAACAGCTTTCTAAACAGTGTAGGCATCTAGTGGTACGACTAAGAAGCTGAATGGAGTATAACCCAGGAGAATTGAATTTGTTCATGTAGCCATAGGGATGAGGCTTCGAAGTCCTCAGAAAAATTGAAAGCATTGCTTTTACTCAGAAAAGAATGTTCACACATGTCTGTCTGCTTTGTGCTTTTACAACTAAACTATCCAACATAAAAAGTTTGAACTTATGTTTTCAAATGGTAGGTTAATTTGACAGTACCAAATCAAATAAATAAGCAGAGGATATAGTGCAAAAAAAGAGCAAAGGACGATCATGCATTGACATGGACATGACTGGAAAATGAGAGAAAGGTGAGAACTACTCTTTGATAGCCTTTTTCTTACATTAAAAAACAGAAACGGAACAAATAAATTAAAGTATTTCAAATTCTGGCGAGACCATTTTTGTGGTCACCATGTTTTTAATACTTTGCAAAATGATTTACATTTTTACATCTGATTGTTTGCCACAGGGAGTGTGATGTTGCCATTGGTCTATATAGGGTCAGTAAACGTTGTAGGACATGCTGTGTTAGGCTGATGATGTCAGTGGGACAGGAGAAATGGGAGCAGAAGACGTAGTCAAAGCACCAGAGTAAAGCCCTCGAAACACTGCATCGTCAAGCTATGGGACCATTGCCATTTCCCCTGGACTTCTCTCTTAAGAGCAGAAAAATACTGCAGTTCATCACAAAAAAGGAAAGTGAGGATCCATGAATAAAATAACAACAACAACAACAGCAACAGAGAAACAAAAATAAAAACCCACAACATTTTTTTCCACATGGTATTCTTCACACTGTTTTTCTTCAATTTATATTTTATAATATATATATTTATATAATCTCTTAAAGTCATTCTGGAAGTGTTCGGGCCTTTGAGAGAGTGAGGGCATGATGGGTGGGCTCTGAACGCCCCGCAGGCCATTTTGACCCAAAGTGTGTGACGCTGAAGCTGGGCGAGATGCAGCGGCGTTGACCTCGCCGATCCTTCCTCCACATCGTGTAACGTCACAGGGTTTCCTTTAGGATTCCACCACTTTGACCTCAGTGTTTCTCAGACATGGACAATATGGAGGCCATATCCCTGGCCCTGCAGTTTGAGATGGTCTCCATAGTAACTAGTGGCGGTCGTAGGCCGTGGCAGCAGTGGGTGGTGCGGAGCCACGGGACGCGGCACTATAATAATAAGGGGAACCTGAAAGTTAACAGAAGAACGAGCCGTTGGAAACCACGAGGCCAAACATCATGTAGGACATGAGAATATATAGAGCCTGGAGATTTATTTATATTATAAAAATGTTAAAGTATGTTGGAAAGTTTCTTACTTAGTAATGCTGGATTGCTGAACCGCCATCCATCGTTGTATGTGGTGTATTGTGGATGAGAGTAAGGGTTTCCAGAAAAGTCCCCTCCTAGAAAACAGATCAATAAATACAAACATTAGCAAAGAGCTTACAAATTAAATGACAGACAGCTTTCTTAAAATATTACACTTTTATAGAAGCCCTAACACTGAGTCACATTCCAGGTCTATGACAATGTTGTCACTCGATAATGCTGCGTTTTTATCCTAGCTGCTTGCATAGCTTGTCTCCTCGGTCCCTTCAGGTGAATTGATTGTTTTATTAATCCTTTGTTAGTCTTTAGGATTTCCTTTATTTTTTCCTTAAGTGAGGACTGCATTGCTTTTTCCCTACTTTTAAGCGATGAGGCTTCGCTTCAAAAATCCCTAATAGGTTCTTTGAGACTCTCATTCGCTCTTTGTCCTCCCTGTGCGGGACGTGGTGGAAAGGACGGGAGGCTGAGGGGATTTCGGAGAGTGATGCTTAGGGTCCACAGGTTTCCTTCTTTTACGACACTATAAAAGCTTTATTTGAAGCTGCTGAGGAATGGCCTTTGCTTTAACAGTGTTTGGGGCCAGTCAATAAATCTTAGTCATTCCCCGCCAGATGAAAAAAAAAATGCAACCTCTGGATTAAAAACACAGCTGTGCTTGTGTGCTAGTATGATCCATAAGCACTCTACAGTAGTATTCATTTAGATTTCAGCTTTTACCTCCATGTATTCCTTAAAATGTCCGTGTCGTTCACAGTGAGCTCACTTGTAAATACTGCACGCCTGCTTTGATTATTGGTTACTGTGATAGGTACACGTCTCCGAGCGATAAAAGGAATTGTGTTTTCAGTTGTTTGGAGGAGAGATCTACACATGCTGCCAGCTATAGCATCCCCAGTGCTGGTCGTGTAACTTGAGCTCATCCCTGAGAGAGATAGTGATTTAAATATTTACAGGCCCTCCACGCCTCTGTGTTTTGACCCTTAACTGTTTGCTGTGAACCTGAACTGCAGGTTAAGTAGAGGGGAAAGAGATACGCTCTGCAGCCCTGGGTGTCCGGGGAGGCGAGGAGAGGAGCAAAAGCAGTGTTTATCGACGGGGCTGGTGAGAGTGCGCTGTGTGGACACGGCGGAGGTAATGAGCGCTGGGAGCTGGAGTGTAACTGAGAGGAACTGTCCTATCACACGGCCACTGATTGTGGTGATCGCCTATCGAGTTCATCTAATGTCCTCGTCCGCAGACGCTAACCACACGCTAACCGCAGTCTAACAAAGCTATAACAAGCTCTCTTCAATCCTTTGGGTCAAGAGCAAGGCCTTGAGGTTTCTTCAGTAATTCAAAGAGTGATTTCTTTTTGTATGTGTTACATGCACACTTTTAGAGACATCACAGAGAAGTATTACTACTTGTTTAGCTTAAAGTGACCTCACCAAGATCAACTGAAGGGTACCTACTGAAAATAAAAGCTGTAAGATTAAAATTAATGGCATCATAAAAAGGGAGTAGTGGTACCTACCAGGAACCATTCCAGCGAGTGTGGAGGTGGAGTAGCTGCCTTGCCCAGTGGGGGGGACGTGAGGCGGGTAGCCAGGTAGGGTGGTGCTGGCCATGTCTCGACCTGCAGGCACAAAGGAGGGAAAATATTTACATGATGCTTGAATGCATAAAAGTTCAGTATGAATGTTTATTTTCTATTCATACTTGATGGTTCAGCTTAAGCATTTACATCAGGTTTTATAAGAAAATTGAATTCAATGTTTCAACCACGATACTTGATATCACCAAAGTAAGGTAATAGCATATAGTGAAGAAAATAACAAGCAAAGACAAGCCACTTGCTGTCACATTGTATAACAGCATTTCATTTCTCATAGTATGCAAGTCAAATCGTTCAAAAGTAATAAACAGGAAAACAAATACGTAAACTGTTGCTCTGCTTATCTGGGGTTTCAAGGGGCTGGACATTGCATCAGGTGAAAGGTGCTCCCCAAACAGGTCCCCAGTCCATATCACAGTGCAATTATTGCATATATATGTGCTATTTTGAGGAAAGTTACTGAATTGTTTATTATGCAAAAATCGTATATTTTGTAAAGGACATATACCAACTTTCTGAGCAGCTTTTGAAAGTGACAAAAGCATTGAACCACATTTGGTTGTTTAATTAACAGTGACCGGGTAAGTCAGGATAAAGGGGCACACAGGACAGGGACAAGCGGGTCCAAAGCAGCATCAACCTTAAGTCTCAGCCTCTGCAAGCTCTCCCCCCCCCCCCCCCCCCCCCCCTTTTGGCCCCCTCCGGCCCCTCCGGCCCCTCAGACCTTGGGCCTGTCACGAGGCTGAAGGGACCTGGAGGCCCATTGTTAACCCGAGAGGGGGATAGAACATTTGCTGTTAATGAGGGGCAAACAGTCAGTTTCACTCCTGTATACAAAACAGTGAGGCCTCAAAGCATGATGGGATTGATGGCTTTGCAACGTGAGAGGTGGATGCTTCAATTTACATTTACTAAATTATCAAAAATGAACAACTAAAATAGAGAGCTTGATTTGATTTTGATCTGGCTGCAGGGCCTTATGGGTAAAGTTGTACCTGCTATAAAAGGCTGGCGGGCATATTGGCTGTAGCGGGGGCCGTGGGCATGGGCAGGGTAGCTGGGAGTAGAGGAGGGGGTGAAGGGGGCAAATGATGCCTCATGGGGCTCTCGCTTTACGCACATGGAAGGTGGATATGATGGGTGAGAGTCTGCCAGGTGGAAAACAAGAAAAATAAATGATGTAGACATGCAAATCCACACATACTCTACATACTTTCACTTCAGCAACTCAGATGGATGTAGGGATGGATGTATAGCTGTTTAAATGTCCAACAACTAAAATAAAAAATATTTGCAAACGCAAATCAACTAAGCAGCATACGTTTTTTCTAGATTTGTCTTGCATAGCCGAACACTACAACAGTGCAATGAATCAAACCGAGACGAGACTCCATATCTCTACAGATTTCTGATATGAGTAGTAAAAGAGCAATTGCTACTTTACCCTCCTGGGACCCAGCCCATTGAAAATGTCCACTGTGAACATGCATCTCCTTTTACTCTTTTGAGCTACTCTATCAATCTCTGATGTACTGTACAGATGACATCCTGGTCTTTCCAGTGATATGTCATTTGTTAAAATTGCATGCTGGGAAGTTCCTCTTTCTTCTCATCCAAAATGGCTGGCATACCAAACAATTTTTTTATAGAAGCAGGAGGAGAAGTCAAATATTGTTGAATAATTGTAATTTTTTACCATGAAAATCATATATGTTCTTGTTTATTAACATGTGAGGAACTATATAATTAGTTCTGAAAGCAATTCAATAATTCAATTTTTGAAATAACAGCTCTTTTATAAATGTCCATTCTAGTGGACGTCAGGACCATCTTCATGCATGGACTTAATGACTCAATATTGTTGCAGGAGACGGAACTGAAGCAGACATTTCCTGTACCAGATAGTTCAGGGAGATTCAGATTTTGAGCTCTCAGATGATGAGAGAGATGAGGCTTTCACACCTGGGATAGAAGAGGGTCAAGAAGAAGGGGTGGAAAGATGCAGGAGGCTCCATGAGCGCACAGATACAGACATAGAGACAGATAGGGACGAGCAGGAAAGACATGGCCCTCTGTGGGCCAAGAGTAGCACGCATGTCTTATTGTTGTTTTTATTTTAAGTGGAGCCATGACAAATGAGAATTGCCTCAGGAATGCCAAGTTTGTTTCTATGAGCATGGTCAAATGGAGACCACATCCATAACACTAGTCAAGATGACCCTACAGCCCGTGCCGACTGGAGTCAATGAGGTACTTTTCCCAGTACATTGACTACAAAGTCTGAAAATCTGGAAAGACTAGTTTTTCAGTGACCAAATAAACAGCAATGTTCAGATAAATTACTTATTTATGTTTTCAATAAAGGTGAATGTATTATTGTATTAATATCACTCTATAACCATAGTCTATCTGTTAATTTTGGCTGTCTTTTCAAACTAAAATGGTCCTGACGTCCTCTACAGTGGACATACTGTAACATTTAAAAATTAAATTAAATTAAAAAAGTCTAAATTGCAAGAGGTTTTTTTAACCCTAAATAGGTAGGAAATAAAAAAATAAAGAAGATTGGAAAACATTTTCTTTCCTCGGTTCCCATTAACTTTGACTCTCTCACCAACTCAAGATGCAACATTTCATATGAATTCTGAATAGATAAGCAGTCGATTTGATCAATTACAAAGTATATAATAATAATCTCATATGCACGCAGCAGTAATTCATTCAGCTAAGTGGAAACATACACCAGTGAAATTATGCAACAACACATCGCGCCTGATCAATCAAGCTCAAATGCCTAAAAAATTTCCCAAAGGTTCTGGGGAAAACAAACAACATAATCTCACGGCTGCTTTCTCACAACAAAATCACTCCCACAAATAACCAAACAACGGCTCGCAGACAGTTCAGAACTCTGCACTTTGATCTAATTTGGCTGATGAGTCTTGGCATCTTTCATTTCACCGGCTCTGCCTCTTGAACCTATGCAATCAATGTGAGCTCTGTCTCCGGCCTCGCCACGTCTGCCGTGAGCCCGTTCTGTTGGCTGGGGCCTGCAGGGAGAGATGGCTCTTTCCCGACACCATGATAGCCTCATTAGCTGCTTCCCCCATCATTGTCATTTTACAACAGGACTGTGTGTTGCAATTCCTCATTAAGATAAGGGCTGTTGTATGGAAGGGGGGAAACAACCCTGTCAGCCCTATGAACCTAATGCCAGGGAACGTAAGCGACTGCTTTCCCATAGAAGTCTAAAGGAAGTTCTCCAAATCTCTTTGTCTTTGTGACAGCTGTAAATGGGGATTTAGACAGAGGTATTGCAATTACACAGAATACTTTCATCTTATTGAGACAAATAGCATTGTTATGGAGGACATTTTTGAACTTACGATCAAATCATTAAAAGGATGGTTGCCACAAAACTCTGGCATGAACAGAAATATTCTAATGAGAGGGCTTTGTATTTAATTGGATGGACCTAAAGTTTGTCACATGCACTGTACAAGTATGTCATGAATTTATTTGAAACAAGGTCCGCATTTAGGAATGATTGCAAATGGCTGGCCCTCAGTTCTGCTGTTCAGTTCATTATATCTCAAATGTACTCAGTTTAAGTCTTTAAAGTTAAAACGGCTTTCAAAAGTTACCCTGAGTTTGATCGGGGGGATAACAGTAAATTATTTTAGGGTTTACCTAAAGCATTATATTTAACGAACAGCTTGATCAGCGTCATTACGATTTTGACAACAATCACAGCGAGCCTGAACCATAACAAAAAACATATGGTAGAAAAAGACATGCGCAACAAGTGTCGGCCTGAAAAACATAATCCAATGACAGTTTGCCACAATTTTAAACAGTGGATTGGGTTTGTGTTAAGTGAATCTTGCTCACACAATACAAACAAGTAGTTTTCTAAGGAGCAGTTACATTAATGTAAGTATGAAACTGCTTGGCCTACCAAACCTTTGGGACATTATTATGAACTTTAGTGAAAGACTTATGCTGCCAAACATGAAGCCTAGCACAGATCTGTTTACATTGGATACTAGGCTTCTGTTTTCTCAGCGCCTGAGCAACCGTTGTCAAACAGACAGAGGTTACGACGCAACAACAACCGATACAAACGCTGCGTTCAAGACCACTGAACTCTGAAACTAATCAGACATGGTGTTGCTTATTGTCCTGGAGACGAGGCAGAGCCCAGGCAAAGGGAGCCTGTCAAATCACAGGCCCTGATGATGGAGATGGAAGATAAACTCAGGGTCCTTGGGGACTTTTCTCCCCAGCAAACACATCTCTGAGAGAGTGGAGACGCTATAGAGTTCTCCAACATCTGTCTCTGCTCCACCACTGATACACTGATACCACGTCTGCAGACCCCATCAACCATAGAAATGGACTGTTAAGAACCTACAATGGTCCTCGGAGTGATGCGTCCAGATATAGCTACAACGGCCTTCTCTCAAGTGAGCATTTCATTTTTAAACACACACCAAGGAACTTCGGTGCGCAAACCATTTACTGAAGAACTCTTGTTTTCAAAAGGCTGACATTCAATCTGCAGAGAACTTTTTCCAATCCTACAGTATCTTCAAGATCACTATACTATACTATCACTAAAACTTGTGTCTTGTGTAGTAGTACGTACGGTCTGTAGAGGAGTCTAGACACAATTAAACGTTACATTTACCTTGATAGGGACACACATATTTTACCACTTGCACCAGAAATGAACAAATGAAAAGTGAATAAGTAAATAATATTAACATGGCCAAATAGCTTACATACACAGGACAGGTCATTCATTATCAAAAAGTGTGCTCACAGGTTAGTGTGCTTTAGTTGGGGGGATGATATAAACATTAATTTGAGCCCGGGTCTGCAGGCGTTTACGATGCTGAGACACGCTGTTTGCCACCATGCCTCACACCAGGCAGCGCCGGTTAGGTGGCTGCTTGTTGTTTGCCACCCAGCAGCAAAAGGCTGTTACTGCCAAGTTATAAAAGGAGCTCAGTGTGGTGTACATTTCAGCTGGAAATAATATGTAATTAAGCACGAGGTTGTTCTCACCTCATCTGTACAGTTTTTTCTTGTCTCTCATAGGGAGAGAGAGGGATGTAAAAACATTGAATCTTCGCATCTGATAGAGACTGGACAGAGGGGTTCCCATTTACACTCAGCCCCCCACAGGCTCTGGTGAGAGTGATCATGTTGTAACAATTCTATACTATCATTTGTTCTAAATATAAACTTGTGCAGGGATTAGAAGTCAATGGATCTGCAGGACAATTTATGATGCCGTCTATTTTCAGGTGTCAATGGAAAACTGGGCAGACACATACATGCTGGACCAGAGCCAGAGACCAGAGGTTGAACATGACATGCTGTTCTCTACCTGAACGCACTGAGCAGTGTGTTTTTCTAGTGAACACAGACACATACGCTTCTTCACAGCTTGTACACACCAGAAAGTTCACAGTTTTTCTTTTTCACCCAGTATGCCAAATTTGACAAATGCTTTATTTGTTGTACTTCTCTTAGTAGACGATGAGAAAATAATTTCACTACAAATAGCTTTGACACTTTTTCAAATCTAAAGATTGTCATGGAAGGAGAAAATCATTTGTCAATGATTGGTGATTCACACTGAATCCCAGCGGTGCGTTTCAGTGCCCTAATTTGGCTGCCGCCCTCCTTCCTAGGTAACTGTCTCTTTCACACATACAGAGGACACAAAAGATGGCCGACATTGCTTTCCCTGGCGCCCTTGGAACGCAAAACTGAGCACTTCATTAATCATTCATCTTTAATAGATTATGCAAATTCCAGGACATAAAAATCAACAAGATCAATAACTGTATGAATTTTAATTGGGAGCAGAAAACATTTAAAGAATGAATATAATCGCGTGGCTCCATCCAGTATGAGAGCATAATTTATTGATAATTGGATCCCAGCCTAAGTGAGGAAGGTAATTTAGCATTTTTCAGCCTTGGCATACATTCCTATTTACAGGGTTTGCTAATGGAAGAAAAAATAATATTATGCAGTGACAACCTACACCCAATCAAGTGCTTCATGCTTTGCTTTGCATAGTCGTTCAAATTAAGTAATAAAAGCTAACTGGAAATTACTTTTGACTTTAATTTGTTGCTCAAAATACTCAAAAGCAATAGGCTTAAGTTTGCTGTCATATTCCACACAAAGAAAAGTTTTCCTTGTTCGGCTCCTAATTATGCAATCTGTGGCCCTCACATGTATCGCTATAGGAGGCCCCCGTCCCCCAGGTGGCTGGAAGGCCACCTGCTATGAGTGTGCTCCCCAGAGCGAGACCGCTTTCATAGGAGGAGCCCGGCATGAAAGACAAAAACACACCTTTCTTCTCGTGAGGCCCAACTTTCTGGGGCAAATCTACCTCCCACATATTCAGGAATAAAAAAAGGGGTCTTTCTTTTCCAGTAGTTCTGTGTTTGGGTCCGGGGCTGGACTGTGGGGATCATTTGAGAAGGGCCACTGCAGTTTTTCAATCATGCTGTCCTCCCCTTTACCTACTCTCTCTTTCTCTCACACATACACACAGTGGACTCATTGACTCTGATGCCCACTGCATAATTATGGGTGTTTTATTAAAAGAATGGCATATTGCTCTGCAGTCAGTAAACCTAACCTCTCCTGGGAAAAAGCCTCAGCAGCCACATTCAAACAACATTTCAATTAACCAGGCGGCCATCAACCTGGACAGCAGAGAAAAAGGAGCCATAGTGCAATACAAGGTGGGTCAGTGTGGGTTATATGATACAGATAGCTAGATATTCAATACACTGCACCTGCCATTACCTGTTGGCACTCAGTTGAAGTCACTATTGAAAACAGCAGCCAGTTCATGAATTGGAAAAAAACTGTAATTTTAGTTTTTTTTTACTGTCTGAACTGTATCTATGTCTCTCTCCTTCCCTCTCTCTCTCCACAGCATGAGGCAGCCAGCCAGCCACGGTGCTACTCCAGCCGCTGTCAATCAACAGGCTATCATAGCCTTTGATGACAACGTCGTGTCGCGGCGAGAACAGCAGCTGTCTCTTATGAGAAGTGCTCCCAGTCAATCTGTTAGCGGGCCAATCCGGGCTAACACAATAGCCAGTTAGGAGCAGCGTGTGAAAGGCCTGTAGGATTTAATGGGCTCAGATGATATATCGCCTCGCTCTGTCTCCGAGAAATAAATACACAGAGTGCCTCAAAAAGTGGCTCGAAAGAGCTTTTTCATTTGGTGATAAGAATTTAATATAGCTGGGAAAATGTGTAGCGCCATAAGGAAGCGGCAGTCAAAATCTTGATTACTCTATGATGATGCAATATGAAGAGGATTTTTTACAATGCTCAGTCAAAGTTAACCAAGTTTGAAGAAAAGTGCATTTTCAGTTCAGGTCAGGTATAGTCCCATTTGTCAGCTGCTCTCACTTATAGCTAAAGAATATTTAGGGGATGAGGAATAAGTAAAATCTGATCCATTTTGCTGGTGAAAGGGTCAGAGAGTAATTTGGAAAAATGGGATACAAAAAAGAACTTTGGATAACAGGAGCATGCCATGACAATACGGGAAAACGTAGCAGCAGAGGCGGAGCTAAATACACTGTCTGGGTTCAAGCACTTAGTTTGTGCACCTTGCTGCAGATTTTTTTCGACCTGCTGCAGCTGTGTTTTAGGGATCAATGTAGCATGAGTCAAATTGTACCTGTCACAACAGAGTAGCTCTGGGAGACACTGGAGGCGAGGTCGGAGCTGGCGCTGGAGGAGAGGCTCGGCTTCACGTCATCATGGCCGCCGTTCAGGGATGGGTGTGAGTATTCATTCGCCTGTTGACAAATACACAAAACATGCAAAAATACATCAGTAAGGGAATGCACATTTAATTCAAGGTGGCAATCAAAAATTCACACTTTTTATTTAAAACATTTCACATTCCATCAGATTGTGTCATGATATTGTCAATGTTGCTCATTCACTGCATGCAAGCCCACGTGTGTGAGATTTAAAACAGCATTCTTATATGGAATATGTCTGAAGGAAACCCCTAGTGTATCTGAGGAAGCTGCCTGTGATCCTCTCACTGTGTTTCCTTCTGAATATTTCCCTTGATTTCTGTAACCCCCCCCCTCTTCACCAACCCGTCCTGACCCTGCTCCCCATGCTTTACCAAGACCTATGATGTATGCATGCATTAGGGCTTGTCTGAGGAAAAGGCAGAAAGGGGAGAGAGGGATGAGAGAGGGATTGGGAGAGGAGTGAAAGGACGGGGTGTCAGCTGGCTCTTTGTGCTCCACTGCAGTCATCCCTGTGACCAGTCAAGGGAGGAGACATTCAGGGCTTTGTTACAGGAGAGACATGTGGTGTGTTTTTTAAAGGGGGGAACAACCTCAAAATCAACCTTTGTGTTTCGCCTATAGGATGAACACATAAAACTGGGTTGATGAAATGATAAAATAGTGTGTATTGTTTTTCCCCTCTCATACTTTTATTAGTACATTTTTACTTTATATTGAAGTTTTTTTATTGCACATCTTTTCATCTGTGATCAAACATACCGTGCAGCTGCAGCCGACTTTCATGTTTTACAATAATTCAATCGAAAAACTAAATTGCAATACTCTGCTGTACTGCAGGAGAAAAGTTCATGTTAGAATCAACTCCCTATTTATCACTCAGGTTAAGACTCAGCTAGCAGCTGTGATAAATCCTGTTTGTTAATGAGATGACACTTCCTGACCGGACTCTTCTTCTTTAAAAGGATAAGTGTGTGTGCACACATTTGTGTCTGTGAGTGTTGTGTCAGAGTGCGTGTGTGCATCTGTTTGTCTCAATGGGAAGGGGTCCCTCAGGGGTGAGCTGGTGACCCCAGCCTTGTCTGCCTCTATCTCAGATAAACTCTAATTGTCTGCTTACAACTGTTCCCTGGCACTAGGCTGGATGTTCCTCTCTATTCCGCTGGGCCTCAGCAGCACAAGAGCCATTTTGTTATGCAGATGGGCTGTGGGCAGGGCCGGGCTGGGCGGAGGGCGAGTGGCAAGCACAGAGGGTCCTGAATGACCTGACCACATGGCTGCCAGAAGTGTGGGAGGGATGAGGCCTATTCAGCCTGGCCTCTTCAAAATGGCTTTTTAATGCCCTGACGCAGACACCAGACAAGCCCCTAATAGCCTAATATCCCACCTTTTCACCAGTTTAAGAAAAGGAGGGGGTGTTGGAAGCATGGAGAAAAAAGGAGGTGCACAGAACGAGTGGAAAGCGGCCTGATTAATATTACATTAAATTAAAACTGATTTTTCTGGACCATTCTGACGCCGTTTTTCTCCCCCTCCTCCACCTTCCTCTCGCTTTTTTAATACCTTCTCCTCCACTCTTTGTGATTGCAAGTCATTTCCAATTCGTTTTGGTATTGATCTTGCCGTAGAAATCACTTTGGTAATTAGCTGCATTAGGTGCTGTATAGCAGGCTGAGGGGCTGTCCCCCTGATTTATCGCTGCTGTAATTCCCTGCGATCGCGCAGAGATGAAAATGAACTCAATTAGGGCACTGCTAAGGCTGCATGGGCACCCACATAGAGTTCCAATGGAAAATTAATAGTCTCATGTTGTTTAAGTTTTATGAATGTAAATAAAGGTTATATGCTTTAATAGGCGGTAGCTTGTAGGTTGCTTTGAGCAAGAAATTAGTTTGGCCAACCTGTTCAGGTTTGATGTGTTCTGGGGTAGGGGAAGACATCAGGGTAAGAAGGACGTTCGAACACACGGTCCAGGGCCTCCAGCTGCTGCTGGGTGAAGGCGTCCGCCCGCAGGTGCTTCCTTAAACTCTCCACGCTGCCCTGAGAGTCGCTGCCGGGGCCTGAGCCATCAGAGCCATCTAGAGAAGGAGGGAGAGGGAGAAGGGAAGGAAGAGCAACAACACTTAGCATCAGGGAAAAGCTCCAACTTTTTTTTAACCTGATATTCTAGCAGGCATGCCATGTGAGATAAGCATAGGCCGATTTTTTTTACTTTTTATCTAGCTCAACGGGTGTGAGAGTGATGGCATGAGGAGCAGCAGTAAATTCAGGGAGATCCACCAGCATGTCTGCCTTTTTATCCCCCTCTCTGTTTTTCACTGTCTCTCTCTCTCCCTCTCACACACTCACTCAAGCAGCTCCCTGCCTCCCCCCCACCTCTCCTCGTGGCCACCATCAGCACGGTCATCATGTGATAGGTCTATGGTAATTGATGGATTACCTTCAGTGCAAATACATACTTGTAAGGGAGAGCGTGTATTTCAGGAGGAGAAAGTAGGGCTGGCGATTACATACAGAGCCTCTCATTCTGCCAGCGGGAAATGGAGGGCCATTATTTAACTGTACTATTTCCTCCTGAACATATTACCCTTCCCTCTCTCTGTCTCTCTTTCTCTCCCTCCATCCCCCACATATTGCCTGTCTTCTGGAAAACAGAATGGAGTGGGGACGGTACTCAGGGCCGAATAAGGACGGGGCGACGAGGGCAAGCGTATGCATTTCCTCACTCAGTCACACTCTATATAAACAAATGAGTCTATGCTTCCCTCGTTCTCCTGATCTCTGACCCTATCAACTCGGCCAGGGAGCCCAGCGCCGCCGCTGCAGCTCTCCCTCTGCTCACTCATCAAGTCCCGAACACTGAAAGGAAAAAATATCTGCAGCTAAAACCTCCAGCCAGCATCCCAGGAACCTCCACTCCACTGCCTGCCTCCCGCCACCCTCCCTTCCTCGCTATATCCCGCCGCCAACAGTGGATGAGGGCTTTAGCTCCCATACAAATCTGTCATTCTAAATTTGCAGCAGATTATGTTCTCTCCTGGGCGAGCCAGCGGTGATATATGATATGCAAGGCCGCTATTGATTGCCTGATCCGCCAGCAGAGGAGGGAGGCGAAATGAACTTGGAATGAACATCATGCCTCAACTCATTGTGCGTATAATACTCTACTTAATCCCACATTTTTCTGTGCTATGGAATTCAATTGATCAATCATGTTCCACTGATGGTACCATTTCAGGGGCGTTATTGCCATTCTGCTCGGCTGCTTGACCTTTTTTCAATGGCTGAGGCCATAGGATGAACCCGACTCGCACCAAGAAATAGATCCATGGGGAGAATGGAATGGAGGACTGCAATTGGGTAAGAGTGTGTGTATGTGTACATGTAGATGGAAGGGTGTGTGTATATGTGTGTTTCTCTTTTAAAATATATTGACTTTAGCTTTGTGTAACATTTATGAAGGAATCAGTTTTTCTCCTGCCACATGTGTTTTTCCTTCCATCAGTTAACCAATTTTTTTTTAACACAGGCTTTTTTTTCCCTTTTTCAAACAGTTCCCTTGGGTGTAGGGTTAGGGTTTCACCATTAGTTTTGCTGTATAAAACTAAATTGTTGTTTGTGGTACAGGAGAAAATGGAGTCATTAATTACCACATATCAGCTGGTCTGAGAAAAGAGCCAAGCGCAGATCAATAGCGAGGGTTTGTCATTCACTATGGGTTTGTCATTCACTATGGAGGAGCATGCTTATACTCAGCACCCCCTCAATCGCTTAATCAGGCCTTCTGTACTGGCTTCAAAAGACATGCCTTCCAATCATAGGACACGTTTTGGTGCCCTTCACGTGATCTAAATGTAAACAAAAGCCTCACTTCCTAAATAAAAAAAAACAAGCTTATTGATTGACGGGCATTATAACACAATAAACATTAACTAAATCCTTGTGGTGTTTTTAAAGGTTGTTAATCATGTTCATTTATGCCACATTCTTTTCAGCCCTAACTCACATTTTACATTTATATGGTGAAATAATTACTGCTTTTGGCCTTAAAATGGAAATAATACTAAATCATTTATTTTCAGAACTCGCCATTAGAGGTTCATGTTTGACATATATCATAAAATAGCAGCAATAAATCAGATTCATCCTTTGACAGTCAGCGTGTCAAGTGGAGTGTGAAGCCCAACTGTCAGTTGGTGTGTGTGTGGTGTGTGTGTGTGTGTGTGTGTGTGTGTGTGTGTGTGTGTGTGTGTGTGTGTGTGTGTGTGTGTCTGTGTGTGTGTGTGTGTGTGTGTGTGTGTGTGTGTGTGTGTGTGTGTGTGTGTGTGTGTGTGTGTGTGTGTGTGTGTGTGTGTGTGTGTGTGTGTGTGTGTGTGTGTGTGTGTGTGTGTGTGTGTGTGTGTGTGTGTGTGTGTGTGTGTGTGTGTGTGTGTGTGTGTGTGTGTGTTCTCATTGACTGGCTTCATTTTCTCAGTGTTTCTTCAACCCCTTTGGGTGTCTCAGCAGGTATTCTCTTATCATTCCCAGAGCACCAGCTGATTGCATCTCTTGGTTTTAACACCAAAGTGTTAGGAGACAAACCCAAGATAAAACAAGACTCTTCAGTGGTGACATTCACAAATCAACTCTAAAGAAAAGCACTTTCCAGTGAATACATTCTTTGTTCAGCTTGAACAGAAGGATGTTGTATCCAAAAGCTTTACATTAATTAAAAAAGTATAAAACATTCAAGCAGACTACCACCAGACCAAAAGGCAAACTCAGTCAATGGACATAAAAGGGTGACTTTCATTGTTTAACAATATAAACTTATAATCACTCTCACTAAATGCTCTTTCAGCCATTTGATCACACACGTACAGCGTTAACCAACGGCGATAGAGACTGTGAGACAGACCACAATGTTATCAAAAGCTGTTCTGTTTTTCTTTGTCTCTAAGGGGGATGTTAACGTCCTGTGGTGGCATGGTGGCACTTTATGTCCTTCTTTCATCTCCCTTGTCCCTCTGATAAGATAACTCAGCGAGAGTAGAGGTGGGGGCTTGTTTGAAAGGCAAATGAATTCCTACACACCGCCTGTGTCTCTCCGTAAATCAATGACACTGGGTTTCCTAGATCAGATGCTGGGAGTCCTCTCTGATAGGTGAAATGTTGCTATCGCAAATTGTGGATCATTTGTTGATGTTTTTAAAAATGCAGTTATGATTGAAAAAAATAGAAGAGAGCACAAACAAACTGGTATACCCAGAGGGTGAACACTCCTTCCCTGTAAGCTAGCGATATTTATGAAACCTCTGAAGCGGAAAGGAGAGAGGTGGGTGGGGTGGGAGAGAGAGGGGGAGAAGCAGCAACGCTGCCATGGCTGTTAAGATCCTGTTATGTTGTGGCGTGTTTAAGAGCTTTATTAATTCGATTTAGCACCACCAACCAGTGTACTGACTGTCAGCAGGCATAGTGATGCTTATTTGATATTTGCACTGACTGCCAGCACTGAGGCTGTGTTGATAGTATTTTCAAGCACTCTAGTTATTTTATTTACTTTCATATAAACTCTCAGATCTAGGCCACAGCAGAACTTTATAATAAATAAAAAGTACACCGCTATTTGAAAGCAGTTTGTGAGTTTATAACATTAATAAGAGAGTGGCAGTAGATCAGAGTTGGTGTTCTTAATTGTAAGGTTGGCAATATGATTCCTGGCTACTTATATTACTTAGGTACACTATTGCAAATTGTATATTTTAATATGTCTTTAAACAATACATTATAAAGCATATTGCTGCACTACAGGAAACTTTATTTATAGAAATCTTAAAACACTTTGGTTTTCTTTGTAAATATGTTTAAATAATCTTCCCCCCTACTAATTTGTATATAATATATTTTTGCACATTTTAGCAAGACTCCCTTCCCATCTCTTGTTTTTCTTTGTCCTCCTCTGGACCACTCTGTCGTTTAGCGTCGCCACCCTGTGTGGCGAGTATTTGTAGAAATGCAATTAACGTATCCCCTCTTTTCTCTTGCCTTTTTCTCCCTCCTCAAGCTGAGTAATGCATCGCTCCATTAATTCCCGGCATCGCTGCCCGTAATTGACTTTTCTCTGACATGATTCCTCTTCATTGAGTGAATTCCCTCTCCTAATATTTTTTGTGACGGCCCTCATTGTATATTGTTTACAACTAAACGTGGGGTCTCACGCAGCCATGTTGCTGAATGCAAATGGTTAACCTGCAAGACTCAAAAAGAGGAAGGGGTCGATAAGAGGAGAAATTAAATGTTGAAGAGAAAGAACGACAGAGATAGAGAAGTGAAGGAGGAGGGGGTGAAATGCAATGTGGACCCTTTTGTGTCTTCCTCTACTGTCGGGGGCCTAACAGCTTCTTGTCTCTATGTTACGCTCTGTGGCCCCTCTCAAACCTGGGCTTTTCTCTCTCACACACACCCCATCAGGGCCATCATGGTGCTCATGATTCCATTTATTTCTGTCTCGCTCTGGATGCATTTATTTTCTAAAGTGATCCTCTATTGACTCATTGTCATGGACTGGCTTGACTAGCCAACCAGTGTAGGCCCAGGTTCAAATCCATACACTAACTGATTCAAACTCCACAAATGGGTCATGTGTTAAAAGATCCACACCGGACGATCTCCAAAAAGGGCCAAGTATCAAATTTGAACAAATCAAACCAGTGACTCTATTCATTTTTCCTTAGGCTATTGAACAAGGTGGATATGACTCTGGCTTCCTGGTGCGATCTTTCTTTTATGTCATGAATGAACAACCTGCTAGGCCATATTTTTCTCTCCCCGCTCACACAATCATCAACTCCTTCTACACTCATCCTACACCCACGCTACAATCACAAGTTATGACCTTTGCTTTCTCCATCTAATTTATCACTGTAGCTCCCGACTGCCTGTCCTCCCCAGAGCTCCACTGGGCTCCATCCAGCGATGAGACATACATACAGCTAGGTCACATCAACCTGCCTGAACAGCAGGGCTAACCTGTCACTGTGTGCTAAGACTAGGAAAACACTGCATTTACATAAAGCAACACCTCTACAGATTTCCCTTTTTAAACTAGAACAAACTAGAGCAGGTATGTTTTACATAATATTTTGGATCAACGACTGGAAGGCCCAAACTTTTTTTAATGAGTGCATGGACTTCTAGCGCTGTAATGCACATTTGACAATCCCACAGCAGTTGTCACCCAATCCTCTCTGTCTTTTCTTGGCTTCCACTTCCACCATAGGTTTAAATGACTGAGTGAGAGCATGCTGTACAACAGGCTAATTTCACCACTTCACTATTAATGCATTTGGCAGGAACAACATTCCATTTCCTGTAATGAGATACACAAATAAATCTGGCTCTGGATAGATTCGGGTTGGGGTGGTGGTGATGGTGGTGGTGGTGGGAGGAGGTTGGGGGGGGTTGTGTGTGGGAGGGAGGGGGCACATTCTCCTTCTCCCAGCACTGGCATAATTGGTATCGTTGCTTGCAGACATGCAAACCAATCTCTCCTCAGATAGGGCTGAGACTCTCTTTCCCCCCTTAAGGCTATTTCTTTTGTCTTTTCGATCGCTTGCACATCCAAGATAGAGGAAGGGGGGGGGTGAGATGTTAATTTGTGAATTAATAGCTTCTCTCCGCAGAATTGCAAATTCTTTTAAATGTCACTGTGTGAGGAACATCTGAAGCCACAGAGATACAAACAGACACACTTCGTACACATTTCCATGGATAGGTGTCTACCTAACATGCGCAGATCTTCAGAGATTCAGGCTGCCAGGGCCTCCTTCCGCCCTCCTCCCCTCATTAAACCACTTTTTCATTCAGCTGCTCTACCTTCTCTTTTTTTTTTACCTCCCCCCATCTTCACTTGAAGCCGTCCAGTGTAACATGCTACTTTTAATTTGCAATAGCACATGACAAGGACAGATTAATGGCTCTTATGGCACCTACGTCCCTGAAGCTCGTCTTACGGGGACCCCGTGTACATAACGCGTGTCACACTACATTATCTCTACAGCCCTCCAGTAATGGGGACCTTTTTCCTCTTCAAAGGGCAACTGCTGACTTCAGCCACACATGGATCACACGCCACCACCATCACACCACCGGTGGTACAAGAACTGTACATAGCTTTTTTTTCATGTTCATCGTGGTCAAATTATCAAAATGTAGGAACAAGCATTTGACGATTTCAAGCATAACATCTTTGATTTGTTTACAGACATGCAACAGAGTCATTTGTACAATATTCTAAACAACATAAAACATATTTTCTGCACTATAGCTCCCCTTTAAAAAAATAAGTTATTACTTACTACTTATCTGTTTACGCATGTATATATTTTGTGAATTGTCTGACTAGGTAACTTTTTGTGTTTGAAATTGTATTAGCTAGCTCAGGTAAATGGTCTGCCTTTTGCTAAAAAATAAAAAAAAAAAAAATTGTGAGCCGTTCAAATTAATCAATAATGAATAATGACAAGGGCTGCAGGCCAAATTACATTTTAGAATTATTTAAGAATAAATATGTTAACAAAAAACTAAATCATTATGTGTAGAATCAAAATCAAAATCAAAATAAGCTATACTGTGCTTTACTGTATATTGAACTGCATGCCATTACATGGAACACCTGATTTTCCACTGTCACTTTAGCTAAATTCATTTTAATTTCCTTGCAGATTATTTACTGGAAAATGTTTCCCCGCCTTGTCCCCATAAACTCATAACCCCCGGAAGAGCAGAAACAGTAATTGAGAGGACAGAGTTGTGGTCTGATTGACCAAAGCAAAAGAAAAGGTAGTACTTCAACTTACAATGTCCTATTTTCCTTCCATCCATGTGGTTGCCACTCCAGTGAACTAAAGAGAGAAACATAAAAGAAGGAAGTGGCCTGTTTTGATGAGTGCTCTTTGGAATCATTTTTAAACCATTTCATCCCATCAGCCACTTCTAAACAGTACAACAGCATCACACATATACACACACATGTTCACACACACATGCAGCCCCCTCCCTGCCTCCACCGGTCTGTTCCTACACCTGTTCAGGCCTCCACCGGGGACATGTTAATTCATAGGCATTAAAAAAGCCAATTGTTTGCAAAACCGATAATCTATTAGACCTCAGGCAGTGTGTGTCCACTCTCTTGCCTTGCCTCGCCTAGGAATGGGAAATTCTGGCTTGGACCGGATAGGCTTCCCACTTACGTAATCTTTGAGCATATCTAAGTCTCATTTCTTGCCCTGGTAGTCTTAAAAAAAACTTTATTATAGAACATTTTAATGCTTTTTTAGATTATCTTCAGTAAAATAATATATATCTACAGTAAGTATCCAGTGCAGGATTATTAAATGTAAAGTATTTAACTGATAGTATCTAGGCGCAGATACACAACAGAGCTTCTCTTTCTGTGTTTTATTACGTTATAGAGGAGCAGTAGCTCTGATGCCTTGCCAAGGGGGATTATAGTTGTATGACAGCTATATGAGATATATCTACAGTACGTCTGAGCATGGTATAAAATTGAGATGCAGCTCTGTAGGCGTATGGTAAAACGCAGGGCATCAAAAAGCTGATTGAATCGCAACACTCTCTCAACACTCGCCCTGCCTGATATACAACATAACAAGTCACTGGAGACAGCACACAGACACACACTTGGCTGCAGCGCTGTCATAAATGCCATCTTCTTCACACACAGGGAAAAAAAAGTAGGAGACGAGTGATGGAGAGAATTAGAAGGATGGAAAACAAAGGGATCTTGTGTCTTCCTTACCTTCGTCTCGTTTCCTCTTCTCGCCGTTGGAGCGAGGGATACCCAGAATGCCGTTGATGGAGTAGGAACCTACGGGATCGTTGGAGGCGCTGGACACAGGGGGAGAAGCTGTGCTGGGCACTGATGGGAGAGAGCTGAGTTAGTGTGTGTGTACAGTATGTGTGTGTTCAGGTGTATATATACTTCAAAATGCATGTTTGTGTTTATATTTAGGTGTTTTCCTCCTGTTTCCGCGGCTCATCTGACTGTGTGGTAATCTGTGTGTAGCCTCCCTCACACTTACCTATGGTGTGGCCGGGCGTGGAGAGCGGCGTCACGGATCCGTCGGGGGACGGGTGGAATTGCTGCTGGACTTTGGTGCGGATAATCCTGGTAAAGTGAACAACAGACACGGATCAATCAATACTGCTTCCAGAGCATGGAGATTTCACACCAGCCCGGCCGCCTCGGGACACTTAAACACGGCACATCACTTCCACTTACACCCGTGCATGTACAAGTGCTCCATCGTTTGGGGCGCTCGTATCCTCATATTCAGGCCTCTGTCACAAATAGCCAATCTTAGGGCTTTAGGGGCAATCTCTCTACTCCTGTGTGAGGCTGAATGGGGGCTGCCCCCTGAGATTGTGGATTCAATCTAGCTGGATTCTGAGGTTAGAAATATGATAAAGTCCCCAAACCAGTAAGATGTGATGTGGCGGGAAAGTCTTCATTGCACTTTGGTCTGAATGATCTTGCAAACAAAGCATGAAATCACATCAATTCACCTCAATGATCAGCTTCACTGGCTCTACCTGGCCAAGTCTAATAATCTCCCTCTCCTGCTCCCCACTCCCTCTTTTCCCCTCACTCTCTCTGTACTCTCTCCATCTCTCAAACCTGATCTTTAACTCCTCTCTCTTACCACCTCATCCCCTTTTCTCATTTCGGGCTCACTGTCCAATGTGCTCTACGTTTTACTGTACTTTACAATAACTGTCTTTCAAAACCCTTATCTCTTTCTTTCCTTCTTTCTATCTCAACTCTTCTCCAAATCATGTTTTATTTCTCTCTTTATTCTCGGTCACCGCTCGGGCGTCTGCTGTAGTTTTTGGTATTTGTGTTGCTCAGTGTAGCACACAGGAATCCACCAGGCTCACTGAGGATCAGAGCCTATTGATTGGGACACCGGGATAGAAAAGTTGACGGCGAATGGCAGGGAGGAACAGCAAATGCAAATGGTGATCTATAAATGATATGTGACAGAAAAGCAATAGTGTCTCATTGGCCCAACCTGAGACCACTGCCACATCCGCTGTATTTTAATCCGGGGTGCTCTTTGAATTAATTAAGTAAAAAATAAAAGAAGGCATCACAATAAACTGAAAACTTAAAATACGACATAATGCTACATGTGTTAAAATGAGGATTGTTGTAAAGGTACAGTGGGATTTACACAAGCTCAGCGATCGCTCTTATGGGACATGATCGCATTACATTAAACCATGACTATGGTAATCTTTTGATTGACAGACGTACGTGAGATCATTGAATAACAGGCAGCGTTGTGCAGAGACAGATATCCCACATGGACGCCCTCTCACTCGGGAGGTGTGACAAAAACAGACTTTTACAGACTGCAGATGAGGCGAATGACTTTCACATGTGCATGCAGCATCCAGCAATGAGCTATCAATTCTGAATCAGGCAGCTGCGAGGTTAACTTCCTCGGGGGCAAATAATGTACATCAGACTCTTTTTTTTCATTCCCCTCACTATCTCATGTGTCCTCCATACTCTCTCCTTCAGGCAGGGCAACAAAGGCTAGCAGCCTCCTCCAGAAAACACACATCAATATTTTATTTGAATTTCTAACATCTCACCACAACAGTTATCTGACCTCATGACTCCAGGGAGCCTCATAAATTCAAGGACTTTGTTTCAAGTCTATGTTGTTGATATTGAATAAGCAATTTAGATGGGTGAATTAACGACTTTGGTTTTTGGGTGTTGTAAAAAAAAAAAGTCCCCAAAGAAAGATTAAAATGTGGATCAATATGATTGAAAGCCGCTTAGGACCTTATGGGTTCACCTCTGTCCTCTGGGCATGTTGCAGTGGGTGGAAACTCCTCTCTGCAGCGACAAAACAAAGTGCAACCCAGTCTCGGTGTAATCTTTAATAATTCATGCAGGAAAAATGTGTTTAAAGCCAGGACATCCTCTTTAGTCAACAGAGCAGAGGTCAGCTTCTTAACCACAGAGACCACCAGAGGTCCACTGTGTCTTTCTCTCTCACTGACTGCCTCTGTATTCCTCTTCCTCTCTACTTTCCCAATCCTCCCTTTATTTAAGACCAACAGTGAGAACAAGAAATAACCGTAGACATTTAAAATAGCCTGGAAATTATAGTTATATAATAAATGATAGGTGTGATTTTTTAATATACATTCCAAAATAATCTGCTGCATTCTCGACATGATATATATAATGATAAATATCAATAACCATTCTTAAATGCTAATATACGTTTTAGGGGATGACATTTAAGAATGAAACTTAGTAGGTTAGGATTTGTAAGTACATGCTTTAAGAATAAAAAAATGCAGTTTTATGCATTGCCACCAGCTCTGATGTTAATGATTAATGCGTAGGCCAACTTAGTTTCAGTGCACAACATTCCTGTAATAGTGCTGTTCCACACAGTTTAAAACCAAGCAGATGGTCAGAAATGTTTTTTTAATAGTAACACATAAAACATTGCCTCCACACACAGTTAAATACATTTTCCTCTGCTTTTAGGAACAACAAGTGAACAGCGCGAAAAGGACCTGTTGAAACCATCATTTCCATCACAGCCTGATTTTATAATATTCCTTTCTCTTTTTCTGTTAAGATTCATCTATCTCCTGCATTTAGCTGCATGTGTTATGAGACTCTCTTCAGCTCATTAAAATGTAATGCCGATGACCAGCTCTCTGGAACAGTGCCTCCTAACCAAAGTTCATCACTCGCAGGCACTATGGGGCTTTTTTCACTTTGCACACATGCACTAGGGCTTTTCACCGGCGTCCTCTGTCTAAAGATACTCTGTCCACTGCTGTCCCGCTTCATGTGGAAAGGTGAAGGTGTAGGGTGTCTGCTGCTTTAGCTGCTTCAGTGGAACAGAAACTCTTTTATAGTCCATTTACCCATAGATCAACACTGTTTGAGGGGGATTTTTATATGGTCTGTCACATTCTGAATTCATTTTAATCATGCTGTAATTACAATTATGTTAGACTGCATATGAAAAATATAGGTTAAGTGCAAAAATACATATTATTATTGTTTTTTTATTATTATTAATTATTAGTACTTATAATTATTATAATAATACTATAATGTGTAATTAAAAAAAGTAATAATTTAGAGTTGTCCAACTACACTATAGGAGTGTGTGGTCTGTTGTCGCTCCACATTCACCTCGGTGTTGGAAAACAGAGCAATTGGTTGGTAATAAAGAGGCTGCTGCCGCTTCTGTCGCAGTGTGGTCCGCGTATTGAACGACTTTGTTGGGTATTTCCCTCCGCCTTTGGATCTGGTTACGCGGTATTGATCGGTTTTTATCGAGACAGATGTGATTCTTCGTGGCCCCAGCCTCAGCTCCCGTGCTGGCTGTGTTGTGGAGGGCCGCAAAGGAGATTGAATTGCACTTGTGAGACCACCCCGGTTAGGCTCGGCTGGGACTATAGATAAAATAACTATGTGCTTATTTCAAAACGGACTTTTCCAGTTTACGCAAGGGGTTTTTGCGTTTTGTTTCCTCTTCTGTTCTATTGTTCCCACTCAAACATCTTCTCTTACATGCGTGAACACATATATAAATAAATAAAAATGCACTTTGCAACAATCCGGCATGCTTTTCAAGACAACATAACATGTAAAACGGCTATTTCGCCTACCTGTTGATGGATGAAACGCTGGGGACGGTGTCGTTGTCGCAGACGGCCTCAGCCAGTAGTCGGTCCCTTATCTCCCAAGCGAACATGGTTGGGTTCTGGCGCTTATAGTCAGCTATTTTATCCACCACTTTCGGAGTTGCAACCTTTGGTTTGGAGCCTCCAATGACTCCGGGTTTAATACTGCCGGTTTCATAGTACCTGCATGGGGACAGAGTGAATGGTTCTGAATGGAGTCTGTCTGGATGGAAAAGGTGGCTTAAATATGTTGTGTGTAAACAAATCCCCGCCGACCTTAGTACACAGTGTGAAAAAAAAACCTAAAAATATGATGGCGGCTTAAATGTATTGGTGTGGAAGTGTGCTGTTTTATGGGCCTAATTGAGTGTCAGCTGGAAGGTGAACAGAGCGGATTTTTCAACGAAAAGCAGTGTAATTAAAATCACACAATATAAGCAGTGAGACGGACAGAACAAAGGACAGTTTAGCTGTAAAAGCACAGTTTAGACCTCATTTCCAATCTCCATGAGTTTACAGTAGCATGCACGACATGCCACCATGACCTATTGGTAAATGTTGGTGACAAACATTCAGTGTGTGTGAAATGAAATACCTCTGAAATGCCTTCTGATAGCTGAAAAAAATATTTCAAAAATATTATCTCACAGCATGTGTGCTCTGATGTATAATGATGTAGACCTAATTTATCAGGATGTAAGCAGCGTTTACACTGATGGAAAAATATATGAACATAACGTGTGTATTATGGGCTTTCTGTAAAGGATTATGATACTCAAAGGTGTGTTTATAGTTGACGTAGACTGCTTTATTTTCCTAATCTGCTAGACATGTTCCCATTCGTGTGTGTAGACTTGAAAATACAGTTTTAAAGTGACCTCGTGCTACTTTATAAGCTTTCTTTATCACCTGTAGTCACTGTTAATATGAATACAGCCTCATATTCCTCTGTGATATTTTTTGTCCGTATAATGCTTAGCTGTAAAATCTGCTCCTAAATTGTTTCATGATTATGATGCTTTTCTCTTGCAGGGCTGCAGGTGATAGAACATCTCGGACGCAGAACTGCTGTGTTCAAGCAAAAATAGAGAAAGGAAAAAAAAATGACCTGCCTATATAACCGATGGCTGAGGCTGAAATAGAGCTGGGTGCGCATATATACGGGCTATAGAAGATTGATGTTTGACACACTGTTGGTAGTGGATCCCCCCCTTTTACCTGCCGAGGATTTTGCTGACACAGCCGTGACTGACCCGTAGCTGTCTGGAGATGTCGCAGGGCCGGACCCCCTGGTGGGCCAGCTCCACGATCCGCTGCCTCACCACGTCCGGGAGGGGCCTGCCGTTCACAAACACCCCGCCGAGCTGGTTCACACCGCCGTGCCCTGCGTGGGACACAACAGCAGCACAGGGGAGCATAACATTACACACCTGCAGGAGACACGCGCTCTCTTCACGTGAGGTGGAGAACATGGAGGTTCATTTCAATTTTTTGGGTGTTTTGGTTTAAATGTTTAAATCACATGAATAATCCACAGGCACATGCACATGCAAAGAGTTACACTTGCACAAATGCACATTTTAATTTTGACACCAATATTTCTTGCTGCATTATCTCTGAAATAAAAAGATATATTTATAAACATTTAAATAAACAATGGTAGGATTTTAAATAATAAAAACACTATTACAATGTATAATAGTCGTAATAATATTAGGCTAACGTAATTTTAACAATGATAGATATAGCAGCAGAGTAAAATTCAATAAGGTTATTTTAGTGTCTCTTTTAAATATAGAACATATTAAAAAAACAAGCAACCAACATGAAATATATAGAAAAATAAAAGCACACCGCAATGGCTCTTTGGATACCACAGAAATAAAAATAAAACTCCTTTCTCTCTGTGCATTGGCAATAGGCAATATTTTCCAAGAGCACCTCCTCCACTGCAGCCTAACACATGTCGCAGATATTATGTTTCAACCTGTTTAATTTTCCTCGCACAATTATTGTAAATAATTAAAATGAGCTTTGATAACTCATATTACAAACGCGGATGGTGCGAATGAGGAGGAATAAATAATTTACACGCAGCCCGGGTCTTCTTTACCCATATCGTATGGAGAAGAAAACATGAAGAAAATTAACAGTTGGATGAACTGCGTCAATTGTATTACTAAACATCTAACTTTAAAGTGGGAGATAAATAAAGTGTTACATCTATTTACACACAGCGTACCCTTGTCTGAAGCATCTGCGATTTCACAGGCAATAAAAGCTTTGTATTTAAATTCGGAAGTTCTATTTATAACTTCAAAGAAAATGTAGCTAAAAACAGCTCAAATATTCTCAATTTGATTAAACTCTGACTCAATAAAGCTTTAGCAAACAAAATTAAAACAAAACTCCTGTGACACGTGCTCCTAGGAATAAGCCAGAAATATCCTTATATTAAAAACATTTTAGCAGCCATATATTTGTTTTTTCTCTGCTTATTATTTTGCTTTTTATTAACACCTACATTAACCCAACAAAATATATTTTTTCAAGTGACTCTTGCAAACCCTTGCCAATATTCTTTTGGGAAAATAACTCAAGATACAAACATGTTTAAGACAATAATAAAACGATGGCAAATAACAAGCCTTAATGGACTTAAAATATTAAACATCTAAAATAAAGAACATAACATAGCCTAAACTGCGGTACTTAGACTGTATTAATTCAAAATATGGTCACAACACAAACGTGTGTAAACTAGTTAATATACTCACAGTGCATCGCCGAGAAGGGGTCTGCTTTGCAGTGAATATCCATTGGATAGCAAAGGAAGGAAAGGTAATCGACTGAGGTCGCCGTTTCGCCTCTGTGGTGCAGCTTAAAGCTGGAAAAAACAAAGATTTACAATTCGGAGCAGCGAACAACAGTCCGTGTGCGAAGAGTCCGCGGCAGTGGACAACTTCTCGGGGCGATGCTAAGTTTTCCTCCTGTTCAAGTCTAAACTCAAAAGTGTCTCTGAAGGGCTGTCAGGTGCAGAGCATGACCCAGGCGTGTGCAGAGCGCACCAGTCGCAGCAACATTGACTCAAACCGTGTCACTGTTTGTCTTTTAAGGACATCATGAGCAAAAACAAAAAGGCGAATAACTGAGTCTCCACGGGTCCGCTTGCGAATCTGTGGCCGAGAAATCCCTCTCCTCTGACGGCGGGCTGTGTGCTTTAATCAGATAGGGGCGGAGATGACAACAACATGGACACGGCGAAGTACAGAGCAGTGCGTCCCCCTCTCCTCCGGAATGGGCTGTGCCTGAGCGAAGCTTTGGGCTGAGAATGAAACCCCTCTCCTTGTGTGTCTGTTTCTAAAAGCTGCAGTCCCACAGATCACCCCCCCCCCCCCCCCCCCCCCCCCCTCTCCTACCTCCATCCCACAGATCCCCTCGCATAGAGATGGATGACTTGTCAGACAAAGGCAATAGATTCCAACACTTTGTGATTCGCCCACGTAAAAACCTGCAGCTCAAATGAGGAGGTCCCTGCATCCGACAGCCAGGAAGGGGAGGGAGACGAAATGGGAAATGATGAGACTTTGGGGTGAAGAATCAAGGAAATTAAAGGCAGGGGGTTGAAGAGAGGTAAAAGCACTGTCAGGCTGCTGTGTGTTGTTTAAAGAGACGTATCTAAAATGTTTTCATATGAAAGACTCCCAATAGAAACCCTTGATGAGACTGGGACTCATGTGTGAATATTTTTGATGTTGGCACCATTTTCAAAAGTGATTTTAAAGAACCTAAAACAAGATATATGAAAACAAATCATAATTATAATGTATCTTACTATTCTTATAATTTAAATAAAAATACATTTAACAATTTATTCATCTTGCAAACACAACAAGAGGCCCAGTTACCCACGTTGTGAGCCTCTGGTTCAAAGTGTTAACTCTCAAATATCACAATTTAGTTACAATTTTTGCAATAAAATCTTTATTTTGAAAATGTGTGTTTTTACAGCAATTTCTCAATGCTTTATCTTCCTATATTCCTATTCCTAAATAATTCAGAAAACATTCTTTAACAAAAAAGGTATTTACATGAGTTCAATAATGATGCAAAAACAAGAGCTGCTACTTTTTATCCTGACTGTTTTGATCCGTGTGTGGTCATACAGGATGTGTGCAAGGTGAGCTCGCAGCCTGCAGAGGGAGAGTCAGTCAGAAGGCCATCATCATCATCACCATCATCATCCACTCCCCGCCTGTGTGCAGCATTGCTCTGTAGATGGCGCTCATACAGTAGGTTACAGCCCGCTGTGCTCCTCAGACAGAGGCAGGTAGGTCGATGCTGCCGGGCCGGCCGGGTCAGAGGTGGGGGGGGGGAAACCTACTGTAGCTGTATTATGCACTCGTAATATCTTCCGGTAGGACTCAATCCGAGGGGAAACAAAGACAAAAAACACACAATCATATAGCTTAAAAGTGATTATTTTTACAGCCTCTATGTTTTCTTCTGTCTATACATTACTGCTGTTTAAAGTAGCTGCAGTTTTTCAAGCAAAAATATAATTGAAAAAATATTTGTATGCATTATGCATAATTATATCAGGATAGTGTTTGTAGTGTACAGTGTCACCCAACTCGTGGTTTACAACGTAGCCTATAACACAGCAATCTTCTTGTATTCAGTATAATGTATGTATTTGTTGAAAGAGGCATCTGTAAAATACCATTAATATAATATAAATAATATTATTATTACAAATAATAATAACGTTATTTAAAGGGTTGTGGTCTTTATGGAAAAGGACTCTGTGTTGCGTCCAGATCTGCCCTCTGGACAAGTTTGAGGACGATTCCTCTTTTTGTTTCTGTTTTTTTTTTTTTTTTTTTTTTTGGGAGGGAGCTTCTGGTACAATATGTAGCACCATGGGCTGTAATTTCACACGTCAGTGCACTTTTGCCCTAAAGCTGCTGCTATTTCCCCCACAACACCCCGATTTGCCCCCCGTACCTCTTGCACTGCTACGATGACGTCCCCATGTCACAGCACTACAGCAAAACAAACGGCGTGATAATTAAGAAACTGTTAGTCCTGATTCACCCCTTTAAAAACCCAGCCACCAAGGACCTAATGCGATTATTGTTTTCGATTTTTTTGTGACTGCATTATACAATAAAGAGCCTCGGCACAGTTGTCACACACTATGAAAACAGTTGATTCTTATATATGTTTTAACACTGTGAATAATCACACAATCGTTCCTTTTCAAACATATGGGTTGTTTTTAATTAATTTCAGATGTAGGCCTATATTCTGATTAATATCTCCTCTAAAATACACTATCCCCATTGTTAATGTACATTTAAATATAATAATACAAATAATAATAATATTACAAATAATAATAATAATACAAATTCCGTTGATTTGGTTTTTAAATAAAAATACTGAGGTGGAAAGACAGCAGACAGGGCGGGAGGGGAGGATGATGAATTTCCTTAGAGGACAAAACAAATCCTTCTCATCCGTTTTTTGAAACATATGGCCTGTAACGCAACAATCGATATTGCTTCCTGATGTGTCTTTACTGCAAGCTTCAGACGATGCTGAGGTTCACATATTTGTTCATGTGACGGACCCTTTGATCACCGTTCACAGTGATTACATGTTAAAATTAAATTTGAACTGATTGTACAAATCTGTTTGTGGAAGTTGCAGACTATAGATATACATTCAAGAATTAAAATACGTTTTTTTCTTAAATAGGAACATTTTGACATGACCCCTAAGGTCCCCTGGCCTCCCCAACTTTGGGATCCACTATATTTCCCACTGCATGTTAAAAGTTTGACTCTTGAGTGTGTAAAGCTTGTTAACATTTTCGCCATGCAAGCTCTCTGTGTGAACGTTAGTTTATTTAGGTTTCGTTTTCGATTTTTTTTACCATATGAGCATATACAAATTCTAAACAATTGGCCTCTTTACTATTTAGAATATTACACCATTACAAATGTAAGTAAGTATCAATCACCAGATTGAGGAAAGGTGTCAGTGAAGTATACACTAAATAAACTCAAGCGCAAGATGTGATTCATTTCACTCTCCACTCTTATTTATTTACTGTAATACTGTATACATTTCCCCTGGACCCCTTTTCTCCCTTTTAGTCAAAACATCCGCATAATACCGGGAGTCTCTTTACCCCACAATGATTTGGTGTCTCCTGACACCCACAGCCATATGGGAAGGCTATGCCAAACTGCAGGATATCAGCTGCGTCCTTAGATTGCTTATTCATGTGCTTTATAACGGGAGCAGATGGATATCAATTTGACTCTATCCTCGACACCATCACAGATTGATTTTGTACTTGCTTTTAATTTTGCCATAATTAATTAGATCATTACAACTGTTTTCCATTGATCTTCTCATCTAAACCCAAAATTGAGAGGTGAATTAGATTGTGATCTATGTTTTTCAATTACAGCCCCAAGCTTAGGTGATGTTAATAGACGAGCAATTATTTGCAACAACGAAAATTAATAATAATAATAATTTCAAAATATACAATATTTACCGCAATTTCTGACATAAAAGTTGAAACAGAGGAAATTACTGTAAAATATGAAAGAAAAAGAAAACTATGCTTTGTTTGATTTTCAAGTAAAAAATAAAATAAAATCCAGACACATAGGTAGGGAGCCTCCTCGCAGTTTTGTCCCACACAGTGCTCCAACATACATAGCTGCAAACAAACAGTGACATTAGTATGAGGCAGACGGAGAAATCCTTACCTGGTCGACCAGCGCTGTGAGGCATGGCTCTCCCCTTGTCTAATGGTGCGTCTCCCCGATGCAGCCCAGTAGATCTGTCCGGCCTCCTGCGCTCCCTCCCCGGCTGGGCGTCGAGCTTCTCCCCGCTGGTTGTCAGAATCTTTGACCGATCATCCAAAACTAAACGGTTTAGGCGACAACAAAAAGCGGAAGCAACCCGGCTCCAATAAACTAGGATTTGATAAAGTAAATACAAAAAGAGCATTGCAGGTGCTGAATTAAACAAACTGTTAAACTTGCTTAAATTGTGTTTAAAACCTCAATTTTAGTAACCAAACAGCTGGAGCAGTGTTTCAGCTATATCGATAAAATAATAATAATAAAAAAACTATATTTGCAATAGTCTGGATTTAATTTAATTGCAACTCCGTTTTGTCTGAAAACTCAGGAAAATATTGATTTGGGCTGTGGTTGAATAGCTTTGTCATTCTATCAAACGCTTATATTCAATTTTAAAGTATTCTTTCGTGAAATAATTTTTGTAGCAGAAATAATATCAGCACAGAATAATAAATCGATATTAGTCATGAAGTTGCCCAACATTCAACATGCTTTGGAAACACTACTGGATAATAATGATTTATTAAAATGAGATTTCTTTATTTGTATAAACTTGTGTTAACTAAGCTAAGGCACGTTCAAGTGCAGGCTTATGACAACACTGAAATACTGGTTAACATTTACTAAATTATAATGAGTCTCTTTCCCTCTCTCTCTCTCTCTCTCTCTCTCTCTCACTCTCACTCACTCACTCACACACACACACACACACACACACACACACACACACACACACACACACACACACACACACACACACACACACACACACACACACACACACACACACACACACACACACAGCACACACACCTTGTGGTGGTGGGGGCAGGAAGGATAGAGGCATAAAACAATAGTGAACATTCAGAATTCACTTAATACTTATACATTTATTTATCAAGCCTACTTCGTCGAACACATCTGATATTTTGAGTTTCTTCGCATTTTTCCTTATCAAATGCTTTGACCATTGCCCACAGTTTTCTCAAAGTGCTTCTCAAGAGATTAAGTCCAGTCAGATATCACACAGATACATAAACTTCCCAGAGGAAACTTTCTCTGTGTGTTTAACAGTGTGAAGGAATACAAAAAAGAGTATAAGGGAGAGTATAAAACTTAGTAACTGGAACATTAACAGATGAATAACCAGTAAAAATGCAATATTACAATATCCACAAGAACGACAGAGCGTGATAAAGCTATAAAATTCAACATTAAAAGATTATAGCTTCTCTATCGGCTATTTAACAAACATTCTGTATTATAAGACTCTTTACAGTGCTTG